TTTTTTTTAGAGTGAAATAAAAAGAATTGTTTCAAAAGTATGTGATAAACTACCAGCTTCTATCAATGCAACTTGTTTGGCTTTCGTGGATACTTATGGAGATGCGATTTGTTCGTTATTAGCCCAAGAATTTGACCCCTCAATAATTTGCCCATTAATTCGAGTTTGTCCTGCACCTCAAGATGTGAAAGACGTCGAAACATTCAAAGAAATTGTCGGCGGGGATCAACCCAAATGTCCCATGTGTTTATTCGCAGTAACCAAATTGGAAGAAATGATTAAAGACGATAAAACGGAGGTTTGTTTTTAACTAAACAATTTTTCAACGATATCTTGTATTTTTATACCATTTTATAAAAATAAAAAATCTTTTTGTTTCCTTATGTCAACAGGAATCCATAGAAAACGCTTTAAACAAGCTTTGTAGCCATTTTAATGGAAAAATTAAACTCGAGTGTCAAGATTTTGTTACAACTTACAGCAGAACGTTGATAAATTTATTAATCGACGATTTAAAACCACAAAACATTTGCGTTGCACTAAAATTATGCAACGAAAAAGCTCCTGATAAACCAATAACCCCCATACATGTCGAAGATGTTGAAATACGTAAGTTTTTTTAACCTCAAAAGTATTAAAATATATTAATTTTTTTTTAAGTAACCAACGAAATTCCCGATCATACCAAAAACGGAGTTTCTTACGTTGAAGCGAAACAAGTTGAAAATAAACCTCAATGTGTTATTTGCGAATTTGCAATGACCAAATTGCAAAATTTACTTCAAAATAAAACGACGGAACAAGAAATTGAAGATGCCGTTTTGAAATTATGCGATGATTTACCAAAATCCGTTCGTGGTGAATGCAAAAAATTCGTAAATACATACGCAGATTTGGTTATACAGTTATTAATTGGTACTTTAAAACCAGATGAAATTTGCGAATACATTGGTCTTTGCGATAAAAATGGTGCGAATTATTATTAATTATTATTAAATTAACCCAAATTAATATTTATTAACCATATTAGAAGTGTGTTTAGATTTTAACTTGCATGTAAATAACCCTTAATTAAAAAAACTTAATAATTTAGTGTGGTATTTTTTTTCAAATTTGAGGTTGTATAATAAAAACAACAGATGGCGCTTAATTTCGGGTTTAAGTGACAGCTAAATTCTAACCTTAACATTATTTGATTATAGGTCGAAACGTCGAAGTACAACCAATAGAACCTAAACCAGAAGGTAAAAAATAATATTTAAAACAATTTAATTTTAATTCTAATTTTTGTTTTAGTTCAAAATTTAAAATCGCCACAATGCGTTTTATGCAAATTATTAATGACTCAAATTGAGAAATATATAATTGGGCCAGTTACAAAGGTACACAACAATTTTTTGCTTATTTATACAGTAAATTTCACTAAAATGCAATACACAAAAATATATTTCCATAGAGGGCGGTACCTACTTATTTTGTTCTAAAATCCCTAGATTATCAACGTACCGCGTTTTGCCGCCATTTTGGCTCGAAAGTCAAGCGAGAAATTTAAAACTATGTGGTTCTATTGAAAAAATTATTCCAAATTTTTTTCTCATGGTACTCTGAAGGGTCGAAACTCGTCTGACTGCTATTTTTGCAACTCCAACGGTAACAAGACGGCTTTATTTTTGTAAATAAGTAGTGACATGCACTGACAAGTTGTCACACCGCCATTTTGGCTCGACTATTTCGAATACACAGGCTTCATGAACCGCGATACTTTGATAATCTAGGGACTTTACTTTGTCCCACATAAAAGGTAACATGTCAATATAATTTACTATTTACAGTAAAACCTCGATATAACGGATCAATACTAATACAATAAAAATACTAACACTAGCGCTAGAAACATTTCGTTTAGCCTTACCTCTCTTAAGACGGCTGGTAGGTGGTAGGTAGCGCTAGTTAGCATAAAATATATTATCTATGTCGTATATTTTTATTGAACTAACACTAGAACTAGAAACATTTGGCTTTAGCCATCTTATGAAACGCACAACTAAACCCGAATGTTTCTAGTTCTAGGTCTAATGTTAGTTCAGTGACACTGCAAGTGTAAAACTAGATCTAACACTATACCTAGAACTAGAATCATTCGGGTTTAGCCGTCTTTAGAGACGTGTGGCTCTAGTTCTAGGTATAGTGTTAGTTCTACATAGTGATTGTGCTAGTGTAAAACTAGAACTAACACTAGACCTAGAATCATTCGGGTTTAGCCGTCTTTAGAGACGTGTGGCTAAACCCAAATGATTCTAGTTCTAGGTATAGTGTTAATTCTACATGGTAACAGTGCTAGTGTAAAACTAGAACTAACACTAGACCTAGAATCATTCGGGTTTAGCGATCTTTAGAGACGTGTGGCTAAACCCAAATCATTCTAGTTCTAGGTATAGTGTTAGTTCTACATAGTGATAGTGCTAGTGTAAAACTAAAACTAACACTAGACCTAGAACTAGAAACATTCGGGTTTAGCCGTCTTTAAAGACGTGTGGCTAAACATGAAACTTTCTAGTTCTACGTTTAATCTTAGTTCTAGTTTTAATTGTTGTGCAACGCTAACTTGTTGTATATTTTTATTGACCTAAAAGTAGAACTAACACTAGATCAACAACTAAAATCATTCGGGTTTAGCTGTGCATCTCTTAAGACGGAAAATCAGAGTTATCATAAGAACGTCACCTTTTCTAGTACTATTAAGCTATGTTGTATTTTATGTGGGACAATGCAAGTACATACTAGTTTCATAACTATAGTTACTGCATTCATATATTGCGAGTTATATGAAATTCCCGTTATAAATTAATGTATTAAAATAAATTTAGGAAGGAGTAGAAAATGGACTTAGGAAAATTTGCAATACTTTACCTAGATCAGATAAGAAATCATGTTACGATTTCGTTAAAAAGTATGGTGATATAATTGCTACACTGTTAATTCAAGCTACCAATCCGGCAGAAGTTTGTTCGTTAACATTTTTATGCGCCGATAACGATAAAGTTTTAACAGAAATAAGAACTTGCGCAACATGTGAAGCTCTCTACATAAATGTAGTAAACGGGATGTTAAACGGAATGGAAAAAGTTGAGGACGCTTGTGAATTACTTGAGGATCCATATAAGCCCGAAGTAAAACACTTATTCTAACTTAAAATTCAATTATAATTTATAATTTAATCTTTTTAGTGTCTTCAAATTGCTAATAAACATGCAGTTACGTTGGTGAGAAGTGCATTTTATCAAACGGACGTAACTTCCGTTTGTCACGGATTAGAATATTGTAAAGGTCCCAGTAATTTGGGACGCATCCAAAGAGAGATTCAACTCTAAAACTAAAAGTGAGTTTTTATTTTATTTTTTTATTCGAATAAACCAATTTCTTTCTGTTTAGACGTTTACGAGACTTATTTTAGTTCCTAATTAGAGTTGAAACCAAAGCGTTAATGGATTTAATGATATTTACTGTTGAATTAAGCTAGATTTAGATTTTTGTATACGAAAATTTTGATTTTTCACAAACAGTTTACGAGTGTGATACCATGAAAATTATATAGACTTGCCATATTTTTGATGTAATTGATGTAAACTGTAATGATTTGGATTGTTNTAAGCTAGATTTAGATTTTTGTATACGAAAATTTTGATTTTTCACAAACAGTTTACGAGTGTGATATCATGAAAGTTATATAGACTTGCCATATTTTTGATGTAATTGATGTAAACTGTAATGATTTGGATTGTTTGTAACAGCTACTTTTTAGTTGAATAAAAACGTAATCAATTATTAATGTTTTTATTAAAATAACCTTTTGATTAAACCATTTTTGCCCAGATGGTAGTTTTATGCAGCAACAACTTTTCTATTTTAGTTTAGACAAACGAAAAGTTATATATAACTAATAACAGGTAAATATTAGGTGCGATAAGCACAACGCCAACTCTAGCAATGGATTTTCTGCTTGGTCTATCTCATTTGCATATAGAGAAAGTGGCTAGAATGACCATTTAGAGATTTTGTACCCTTTTTTGAACATGACGTTTGAATTTGAGGTTAGAATGTTTTTCTCGTAAGATGGCGCTATTTGACAATGCTTAAATTTAAAGAAATGATTTTATATCGCAGCTTAATTATCTTATACCTTAATATTTTAGTATTTGCAACGATTTAAAACCTAATTAATCGGAAAAAACTTACCACTAAATGGTATTCCTTCCTTGCATTTTTGGTATTTTCGCCTACAACAATTAAAATGGAATTAAAATCTACTTCTTCATTTAACGAATCTAATTTTATAAATCCCAATAATTAATGATTTGTGGTTTTGCTATAAACACCATAAATATAACTATTGATGTGACATTTACATCTGTCACTTACAATTAGCGGCACCCAAAAACATAACCTCAATGTGTTTACCTTCGCGTCAATTTAAAATTAATTTAAATATTTACGAAATCTTCTATATTTAGGGCCAGTATATCAGTTCCAGTTTTTAAGTCATTTGAATTAGTCAATTCAATTAATCCAAATAAATTCAAGTCAATAAATTTGGGCCACCGAAATGGAGAAAACGAGAAATTAAATATTTTAAATCGAAATGTGCAAGAGAGAAAAATCAACAAACATTTATGAATCTGTATTTACAACAAGTTGTTGTAAATAACAACAATATACCTGGCCAAGATGGGTTAATTCTAAGCTATGATTCTAAGAAAGAGTACAATTTCTATGGGTTAATTTGAGTTTTTAGGTTAGAATGTTTTTCTCTGAGATGGCGCTATTTGACAATGCTTAAATTTAAAGAAATGATTTTATATCGCAGTGTAATTATCTTAATATTTTAGTATTAACAACGAATTAAAACTTAATTAATCGCAAAAACTTACCACGTAATCGTATTCCTTCATTATATTTTTGGTATTTTCGCCTAAAACAATTAAAATGAAATTAAAATCCACCTGTTCATTAAATAAATCTAATTTTATAAAATCAACAAACATTTATGAATCTCTATTTACAACAACTTGTTGTACAACAATGTACCGGGCCAAGATGGGTTAATCCGAAGAAATTGTACAGTTTTTTTGGGTTAATTTGAGTTTTTAGGTTAGATAATTTTTCTCGTAAGATGGCGCTGTTTGACAATGCTTAAATTTAAAGAAACGATAATATTAATCTTAATATTTTAAATATTTTAGTATTGGCAACGAATTAAAACCTAATTAATCGGAAAAGAACTTACCACATAATTGTATTCCTTCCTTACATTTTTAATATTTTCGCCTAAAACAATTAAAATGAAATTAAAATCTACTTGTTCTTTAAATGAATCTAATTTTATAAATCCCAATAATTAATGATTTGTGGGTTTGCTATAAACACCATAAATATAACATTTATATTGATGTGACATTTACATCTGTCACAAAGCGGCACCCAAAAACATAACCTCAATGTGTTTACGTCCGCGTCAATTTAAAATTAATCTAAATATTTACGACATTTTCTATATTTAGGTCCAAAACGGTGAATCTCGTACTTTACTCAGTTTTACTTAATCATGAAATCTCTTTACTTAAGCTTTATATTGGTAAGATCGACGTAATTTCTGAATTATCTTTTTATAACCTCACTTTTTCTTCTTAGTTATTAATTTATTTTATTCCAAATAATGCAAAAACGAATAATAAAAACGTTGTGATTGAAAATGTATCAGACATCAAAGATTTCAAAAAAGTCGTTCGCACAAAAACCAATTTATTAGTATGTTTTGTAAGCAGTTTAAAAAAAGCTTCTGATATTGTTAAAGTTGTCCGAGAAGCGGCTTTTACGGTTAAAGGACAAGGTACTATGATGTTAGTGGATTGTTCAAGTGAGGCTCGAAAGCTTTGTAAGAAATTAAAGGTCTCACCTGAACCTAGTATTTTAAAGCACTACAAAGATGGTGAATACCATAAAGATTATGATCGGAAAGGAACTGTTTCTTCAATGGTTAATTTTATGAGAGATCCAGCTGGAGATATTCCATGGGAAGAGGATAGTTCAGCCAATCATGTAGTTCACATTTCAGATGCTCAGGTAAATAATAAAAAAAAGTGAATATTTGAGTGACACTTTCAAAATTGTATGTCATCATGTAAATTTTTTCAAAATTATCATATTAATTTAGCAAAAATGTTATGGGTAATCCTTATAATTTCTTTAAAATTATTACTAACATTTTTAATTTTATTTTAGAGTTTAGCAAAATTCATTCGAAAAGAAACCAAACCAATTCTAATCATGTTTTACGCTCCATGGTGTGGCTTTTGTAAAAGTTTAAAACCGGAATATTCAGCTGCTGCAACTGAACTTCAAGGTGAAGCATATTTAGCAGCAATAGATGTAAATCGGCCCGAAAATTCGGGAGTAAGAGCTCAATATAACATCACAGGATTTCCTACTTTACTTTATTATGAGTACAAAATCAATGTTTTCTTAATAACTTTATAAATTAATCTAATAATTTTAGAAGTGGTGTTGTTAAATATCAATATGAAGGTGAAAACAACAAAGTTGGTATTGTAGCTTTTATGAGAAGCCCCTCAGCCCCCACCACAAAACTTAAAGATCCAGAATGGTCTGATAGTGATAGTGATGTGGTCCATTTAACTGCTAATAACTTTGATCCTGTTATTCGAGAGGAAGCATCCGTTTTAATCATGTTTTATGCCCCTTGGTGTGGACATTGCCAAAGATTAAAACCTGAATATGAAAAAGCTGCTGCTCAAATGAAAACAGATGGGGTAAAAAAACATTTAATTTTTTTTTAAGTCACAATTTAACTATCTTATTGGGTATACTATTTATTGTGGAAATATTGATAAAAGTATAGGTCTATCAGGTGATGTGAAATTAAACACCTGTGAAGTATAGAAGTATTATAAAAATAACCCATCGAAACTGGTCTCCACTACAAAGTAACTGTTGAGAAGAACATCCAGCTAGCTATAGAGGATGCATTGTTGCTAAAAAACTGCAAAAAAGAAGAAATATTCTTATTAAACAAAATACACAAGAACCTAGACTTCCAATATTGTAAATAACGACATATGTGCCCAAACTCAAAACAGAGCTGTACAGGGTGGTTCAAATTTGATGTCTGAATAGGCTAACTCAGAAACTATAAGAGTTAGAAAAAAGTAGCTTACATGTCATGATCTCGTTTTTCGAGAAACTGGTAATGCCGAAAACCTCAAAGCGCTATCGTCTTTTGTTTTTCCCCTAGAGGCCAAAAATGAAAATATCGTAAAACCAGTGAGTGCAATTATCTTGGTTATTATTATAGGTGGAGTATTATAACTAAGACATTATATGGACACTTTTTTACAGAGAATTTCATGACGTAGTCAAAAAAAAATTTTCGGTTCTAGATTTTGAGGTATCATGACAATTTTCGTTTTTTTAAATGGAAACAAACACTGATTATTCGTTTATTAAATTCGTTATTTTTTTCTGATTACAAAAATATGGGGTTAGATAAGTCTATTTCCTATTGTTTTAAAATAAAGTTAAAAATAATGTTTTAGTATCGTCAAAGAAATTAAATTTACAGTTTCCTGTAAATTACGGTACTATAACTAAAAATTTATTATTCTACTAAAAATTTATATAAAATTTACTTTATTTTCTAATATGTAACATTCTAACATGTTAAACTTTTAGTAATTTTCGCAATCCATCTTAAAAAACAGGATTTTTAATTTGACACTTCAGAAAATTTTTGAATACAAACAAATGTTGCTGTTGAGCGCCATCTATTAATAATTTATTAAGCCATTTAATAATAATATTAAAAAATGTGAAATAATGCAATCTATTCCAACTTTTATGTAAAATAAATATAAATTAAATAGTTCAAGAAATGTATTTGTTTCAAATATCAGAAATATGTTTTTTTAATTTTGTTATAATTTACAGGAAACTGTAAATTTAATTTCTTTGACGACACTAAAAAAGGTTTATTTTTAGCTTTATTCTAAAACAATAAGAAATAGACCTGCCAAACCCTATATTTTTGTAATCAGACGAATTTAATAAGCGAATCAGTGGTTGTTTCCATTATAAAAACGAAATTTGTCATAATATCTCAAAATCTAAAACCGAACTTTTTTTTGGATACGTCATCAAATTCTCTGTAAAAAAGTGTCCGTATAATGTCTTAGTTATAATACTCCACCTATAACAATAACCAAGATAATTGCACTTGTTGGTTTTACGGTATTTTCAGTTTTGGCCTCTAGGGGAAAAACAAAAGACGATAGCGCTTTGAGGTTTTCGGCATTAGCGATTTCTCGAAAAACGAGATCATGACATGTAAGCTACTTTTTTTCTAACTCTTATAGTTTCCAAGTTAGCCTATTTGGATATCGAATTTGAACCACCCTGTACAAACACGACATATTCGTCGTGAAAAATCCTTTAAAATGAGTACAAACATGATATGTTTAATTCCAATATTACTCAAGGTATAAGCAATTTCCGGTTTGAAATGTCAACGTCATTTTGACATATTCTTAATTTTTATAAAATATCTTAATATTTGTCACAAAAACAAAAATATAATAAAAAATTAAGGTTGGTATTAATATTTAAAAATTAAATTGCTATCTTCATTGTTGCTAACTTCGGGTTTAATGTTTTTTATTCTAACTTTTTTGTTTTTTGAGATAAATGCGTCATCTTTGGACTCATTTTAAAGGTTTTTTAATGAAGATGACAAATATGTCAAAATTGACGTTGACGTTTTAAACCGGAAGCGATTGTATCTCCATTAATATTAAAGTTAAATATGCCGAGTTTGGACTCATTTTAAAGGATTTTTTATGAAGTTGACAAATATGTCAAAATTAATAGTTGAAAGTTCGAACTTTTTGTTTTTTTGACAGAAATGCGTCATGTTTGGACTCACTTTAACGGTTATTTTATGAAGATTACGAATATAATAATAAAATTACAGTTGACATTGACAACTGAAATAAATGGGTAACGGTAAATGACAGAGTTACAGCTTGGGGCGTTTTTTATCTGACACCTGTATAAAGAAAAAAGTGGAACAACTGCGAATAAGAAAAAGGCAATATAGCTGGTTAATTGGAAGACTATCAATAGACAATAAAATACTAATATACAAGTATGGGGATGCGCCAAAAAATGCCATATTGAAACCATACAAACATTTCAAAATAAAATCTTGAAAAATATAACAGCGAAATAAAGCGGTTTGCACGAAAACATAAATCTAGAGTTGACAACCACGTTAATCTGAGTGTCTCTTCTCTTTAAAAATGAAAACGCCCAACGAAAATTAAAAAGGACTTTGATCTTGCCTAGTGAGTAACAGTGGTAAATAGTGAAAAAGAAGAGTAAGGTGCGGTAGTATAATTTAATAGTATCTTCTGAAAATGAATGGGCGACCAGAAGATTAGTCACTTTAGTGTTTAGTTTTTAAGAATTTAATATACAGGTGCCCATTATGTATAGAATATAGTATATATCTTGGTAGGTATCAACTTTATAAAAAAACATTTTATACAAAAGTGATTTAATATTTTATTTGCCATTATAAGACAGCCTTCAATTGTCTTTATTTCAGAAAATAAATGAGCAACGAATAACACTTGAAGTTTTTTAAATGGCAATGTACCATTTCGTTAGGCTCATTTGATAGAGATTCGTTTTCTCTTTACGATGACGTAAAATTTTAATACCCTTATATCAGAAATTTTTAAAAAAAAATGTAAAAATTGTTAAACAAGATTTATACTATATTCCATACATAATGGGCACCCTGTAGATAATCTAATGGATGGTCAATGATGACCAGTTTTAGTATAAAAAAAAATTAATAAAAATTAATTCCTTAATTTATTTAGATCCCCGGAATGTTAGCAGCAATTGATGCTAATAAAGAGCAATCAATTGCAACTAGATTTGATATCCGAGGATTCCCAACGATTAAGTACTTTGTTTATGGCGAAGTTAAGTTTGACGTTAACGTGAGGGACGCTCCTAAGATAATTGCGTTTATGAGTAACCCATCAGAACCCCCCGTTCCACCTCCAGCAGAGATCCCATGGGCCGATGATACCAAAACGAACGTTGTTCATTTAAACGAGGACACATTTAAACCATTTTTGAAGAAGAAAAAACATGTTTTGGTTATGTTTTATACTCCATGTACGATTTTTTTTTTTGATATATCAAAAAAAAGTACTTTTATTCTTAATTTGTTTTATTTAGGGTGTGGTCATTGTAAAAAAGCGAAACCGGAATTCGAAAAAGCAGCTGAAAAATTCCGAGATGATCCGAAAGTTGAATTCGCCGCTGTTGATTGTACCACGCAACAAAGTTTATGTAGCGCACAAGATATAAAAGGTTACCCAACAATACGTTACTTCAGTTACTTAAAATTCGAGAAACCTTATAGCGGTGCTAGAACGGCCCAAGATTTTGAAAAATTCATGCGCGACCCAGAAGCTGCAAAACCACCTCAATCAATGCCTAAACCAAAATCGGAACAATGGCGCAAAGAAACGACAACGGCTATTTTACATTTAACTGATAATAATTTTAAAAGAGAAATTGCTAAAGGTAGCCCAGTTTTAGTGATGTTCTACGCTCCGTGGTGTGGTCATTGCAACAAAATGAAATCAGATTATAATAAAGCGGCTGAAGATATGAAAAAGGAAGGCTTTCAAGGAAGTTTTGCTATGTTTGATTGTACGGAAAATCCTGAAATTACGGAAGAGTTTCAAATTTCTGGATTTCCGACGATTAAATTATTCGTCGGTGGGAAATATGTTAAGGATTATCGTGGCTCGAGAACTATGGAAGATTTAAAAACTTTTATGAAAACGTCAAATATCCGAGATCGTCAAGAACTTTGAAGAAATTAAAAAAATCGTATAATATAATTTTGTATGTTGTATGTATTTTTTTTTTTTTATAGTTTTGATGATGTAATGTTGATGGAAGAATATCTGTATACCTCATTTTCTTGTAGACTGACTTGTTTTCTCCTATTATATCAATTTATTACTAATTAATATTGACTAATATTTGGCAATATCTTTTTTCTATTTCAAGTTTTTAAATAAAAATAAATATTCTTTTAATAATAAATTGTTTTGATTACTAAGCGACATTCCATCGTTTTTAGAGATTTATATGCTGTCTGGTAGGTATAGGTTTAAATTATATTAGAAAAAATGCAGAATACCGAAAAACCTAAAATACCATTTGTTTTATATCGAATTTAAGTTAGACTAGTTTCGACCCTTGACCATCTTCAGAGACTCTACAAATAGATTAACATCTCTCATCTTATCCATTTTACAAATGACAGCGGTAAGTAGCGCTAGTTAGCATAAGATATCACTATATTGTATATTTTTATTGAACTAAAACAAGAACGAGAACTACAAACATTCGGGTTTAGTCGTGAAAAAACTTTCAGTCAACGTCAACTTCAATTTTATTATTATATTCGTTATCTTCATAAAATAACCTTTAAAGTGAGCCCAAACTTGACGCATTTATCTCATAAAACCAAAAAGTTCGAACTTTCAACTTTTAATTTTGACACATTTGTCAACTTCATAAAAAATCCTTTAAAATGAGTCCAAACTCGGCATATTTAACTTTAATATTAATGGAAATACGATCACTTCCGGTTTGAAAGGTCAACGTCAATTTTGACATATTTGTCATCTTCATTAAAAAACCTTTAAAATGAGTCCAAAGATGACGCACTTATCTCAAAAAACAAAAAAGTTAGAATAAAAAACATTAAACCCGAAGTTAGCAACAATGAAGATAGCAATTTAATTTTTAATTAATACCAACCTTAATTTTTGAATTTTTTTTATTATATTTTTGTGTTTGTGACAAATATTAAGACATTTTATAAAAATTAAGAATATGTCAAAATGACGTTGACATTTCAAGCCGGAAGTTGCTTATATCTCGAATAATATTGGAATTAAACGTATCATGTTTGGACTCATTTTAAAGGATTTTTCACGACAATTACAAATATGTCAAAATTGACGTTGACATTCTTAATCGGAAGTTGACCATAACTTCATTAATATTGGAGATAAATATGTCGTGTTGGTACTCATTTCAAAGGACTTTTAATGTCAACAAATATGTCAAAATTGAGGTTGACACTTTAAACCTGAAGTTAGGTATCATATAATAGAAGTTTTATAACTTAATTAAATCTAGTGTTAGTCACTTTTTCGCACTTTCTTTTTATTTTTAACGTGTTTTTTGGGTCATTTCATGTTGATTAAAAAAAAATCGTCGATCTTTAATTTATAGCCTATTATAGTCAATTTAATTATAGCCTAGTATAGGTTATGCCAACATTATAGGTTATGTTACTTCAA